ATAGACCTCTGTGAAGTATGAAGATACTGTACTATCCCCGGAGAACCTTCTCTTCCAGGTCAGACAGTGCTGTTTTTTGAACTGTTCTAGATAAGGTATCTCCTTATCTAGATAAGGTCTCCACAGTCTTAACCATATATTCACTTGTAGTCCAAATTTGCTTTGTAATTTTTGTTGGCCTAATGGAATTGAATCCTGAGAGTGTTTGGTTTCTTTTAACATGTTGTCTGGCTTCACTAGGTCTTTCCCCTGGTTATATAGCCACAGGTGGCTTGGAGAGTTTGTAGGACTGGAGCTTTCTAAACTTTGCAGCTTTGGGTCTAGGTGGGCTGCTCAGTATACAGTTGGTGCTCAGTAAGTGTTTATTGGGGGATTTTGAGCAGACTTCCTTTTCTCTGGGAAGATTTTAGCCTCACTTCCTTACTGCCTCCTGCCCTAAATGTCTACACTTTGATTTCTTCAGTGGATATAGCATCACACTAGTTGGTGCTTTGGTTCATAGGTAATTGTAATCTCTTTCCCTGGAATTACTTTCTTCTTACAACTGCCTGCGGCCATGCCCTAGGCTTTGGCTGTTTCTCAGAAGGATCTTGGAGGAGCGGGAAGGTGTAACTGCTTCTGTGTCTTTGCTGGCAGGTGGGCTCCGGCAAGCCGGGGAGCAGAGTGATCCTGGCCACAGAGAATGACTACTGTAAGCTGTGTGACGCCTCCTTCAGCTCCCCTGCAGTGGCACAGGCCCACTACCAGGGCAAGAACCACGCCAAGAGACTTCGTCTGTCTGAAGCTCAGAGTAATTCGTTCTTGTAGGTGTTGCCATTGCCTCTGAGGCCGATTGTTATGTGAGAGCAACCTTTTAAAGGAGGAGATGAAAGGGAGCCTTGTTTGGACGTCTCACTCATTTCAAATTTCTTTTCTCCAGGGACTCCGCAGAGGCAGGGCAAAGGCGGACCCGGAAAGAAGGAAGTGAGTTTAAGATAGTGGCCACCAGGAGGAATATGTACACGGTCCAGAACAATTCAGGTATCCTGCATGCTCCCATGTGTCTTGCAAGGGTTCGCAAACCTGCAAATGATAGCAGTAAATAGCCCCAAGAAATTAGGTTAGTGCTTGTTTTACCAAACTGCTCTTCTGGCTGTTTAGGCCGCTGCTTATTTCTGGTATTCTTTATTTCTTATTCAGTATATTATTTATCTTGGCTTTAAAATCATAGTGTTTTCTAATTCCTTATTTTTTAAAAAAATATTTGTCAGAAGAAATATGTAAAGCAGATTAGAAACTGGGCTTTTTGAGGGCTGGGAAGCTGGTGTAAGTCATGCAGGCATGAGGACCTGAGTTCGATCCCAAGCCAGACACAGCAGTTCACACCTATAACCTCAGGTGGAGAGGGCAGGTCCCTGGAGCTCTCCGGCCAGACAGTCTAGCTGAATCAGCAAGCTCCAGGTTCAGCGAGATTCTGTCTCAAAATATAAGGTGGAGAGAGATTAAGGAAGACACTTGACATGTTCACACTAGGTTCAGTTTTCATCTACGGGGGGAAATGTAAAACACAGCAGCGATTTTTAACCAGGTAGTAAATGAGCATTATCTATGAAGTTCTTGTGATGTGCACATTTAATGGAGAGCCATGTGTTTATGGAAGTGTTCTGTGTTCATCCTAGTCCGGGCAACCACAGCCTCCACCACTATACATGCCAGCAGAGGCTGTTTGTATGGACAGTAAAACAGAAACAATTCACTGAGTAACAGGAGACAGCTAGTGAAAATAGAGACAGACAACCCTGTGGTCTGATGAATGCAATCTCAGCGCATTACTAGTTATGACCAAAGTCAACTAAAAGACAAAGATGATCGGGCTGGATTTCAAAAGCTAGTTGAGATGAAGGAGCCTCCCATAGCTGTGTTAATGTCAAGGAAAATGCATTTTAGGATGTGGGTGGCAGAGATTATGTTCTCTGTGTAGAGTAATAAAATTACAGAGATAGGGCTGAGGTGAAGGTTTTTACTGTGTTGCCTGCACTGGCTAAAAATTACTACAATCTTTCTGCCTCAGGCTCCCAAGTACTGAATTGCAGGTACAAACTACCATGCTTGGCTACAGTCTTTAAACATTGTATTTATTTTTAAGAGCCATAAGCATTTAGAACCTGGTCTTATCTCTGTAGCAGGTATCCTGATACTAGTTGGAGAATCATTTTATGTTTATAGATTGAACTTGTATATACATGTAATTAATCCACCTCTCCTTTATTTAAAGTTAGAATCTGAATTGGAATTAGAATTATATATTACAATGAGAACTGGTGGATTGATTTTAACTAAATGGGCATCCTGAGTATGTGCGTGTGCGTGTGCGCGCGCGCGCGCGCGTGTGTGTGTGTGTGTGTGTGTGTGTGTGTGTGTGTGTGTAAAGGTGTGTAAAGACGTGTAAAGGCTAGAGGTCAGTTTTGGATTATCTTTCTCTCCTGCTCTCCACCTTATTTTTTGAGCTCACTGATTGACTGGGCTAGCTGCTAGTGAGTCCCCGGGATCCTTCTGTCTCCGCCATCCCAGCGCTGGGGTCACAGGCACAGGCCACAATGCTTGGTTTTTTTGTGGGTGCCGGGGATCTGAACTCGGGTCTTACAGTCATCTCCCAGCCCTTGACTACTTCACTTCTGCTTCTTGCTTCAGCAGGTCCGTACTTCCATGCCCGCTCGCGGCAGAGAATCCCGCGAGATCTTGCCATGTGCGTCACTCCCAGTGGCCAGTTTTACTGCTCCATGTGTAACGTCGGCGCTGGTGAAGAGGTGGAGTTCCGGCAGCATCTGGAGAGCAAGCAGCACAAGAGCAAGGTGTCGGAACAGCGGTACCGGAGCGAGATGGAGAATCTGGGCTATGTACAGTGACGGCCGCGCTCACGGAGAAGCCAGTCCTGCCTGTTTTTGCCTTCTGTCAACCTGCCTTGCTTTGTGGTCCCCTTGATACATACATTCCTCCATTCCTCTGCTTAGTATGAGTAACCTGCAATGGTGCCCTGAGCCGTCGCGTCGTCGGGGTGGGGGAGGGAGGTGTGCTTCTTAGGTCACGATGCTCTTTTGGGCCAACCGTATCAAACGACCTACAGTATGTGACCTACCTGCCCCGTCAGAAATAACTTCTTATCTTGGCCAAGTTCTGTTTAACCAGGAGTAGCCTGTTTGGAGCTATGATCATTTAAAAACGGCATCTATTTTGCAATTCTAGTTTTATGCATATTAGAGGAAGACTTGATTTGAGTTTGCCCCTCAGATTATAGTGGAAAGAGGTAAGCAGAGAGTCCCGTTTCCTGACGCTCCTGGGGAGCCATCATCACAGTGCGGTGTCTGTGATGTGCGCTTAGAGTGTGCGCTTGGGTCTCAGCAACAGTGCGTCCCCCTGCGGCATGTCCGTCCGTCATTGACATGCAGGTGTTTTTGACTCCAGACACTTGCAGAATGCTCATGTTCTTTTGAAGACGTGACTTCATCTCCAGTTGTGACCTGCACACATTTGACCCCCGCCTCCTCCTTCCTACTGGATCAACTTATCTGCTGAGCTCTCATGCCCTAGCTGTCCTGTCGTTCTGAGACCCAGATTCGACTATCGAATGAGTTGAAGATGGATATTCTTTTTACAAAATATATTTTCAGAATGATTCAAGGAAATGCATGGGTGTGTTTGAGATTGCAATTTGGAAGTATATTTTCACTGGTAATCATGTGGGCTCCTGGGATCGTCATTACCTTGTGGCTTTTTGATGATTGTCCTGACGCTGCCCCAGCGGGTGATGGGCACTCCTGGAAAATACCGCTCTCTGCCGTTTCTTACGTGGGAAGTTCTCTTTTTTAAAAAGCTAATCTAGTTTCATTGTCATTTCCAGTAGAAGAGCACACAGACCTTGTGTTTTCTTCTTTGCCTCCTTGAAGAGAATGAAAACACAGACGGCTTTGGTGTCTAATGATGCTAATGGGATTCTTATTTTTTAAATAAAAAGCCATAGTGTATGTCTAGATCGACTACCGGAGTATTATGTGAACTTGTGTTCACCGTGTTCTCTCTATTTTCTACTTTTCTTCATGTGGTCAGAGCGGCATGCCCATGCTTTGCAGGGCAGCGGCATGCCATGCTTCGCAGGGCAGCATGCTTCTGCAGAAGGTAACAGCAAGCAGTGGTTAGCACTGTGGCAGAGGCACATTTTATTACTTACGTCACCACTGGAGACCTTGGTAACCAGAGAATTCTGCAGGCTAACAGGTGGAGAGGAAGGAATGTTCACCAATCCTCCTTTCCATTCTTGCTTCAGAACCGTTGAGACTCATAATTAAAGGTTAATTTTATGATTAGCTTCTAGAATAGTACCCAGTTACTTTCTCCTGTTGAAATGCTGGTTTCTTGAAAAGTGGAACTATTTGGTTAAGTATTTCCCCCCTCAGAACAGAAGAAAGAACAGTGTTCACTTGAGATTTGATCTCCATTTGCAACTCCTCATCCCAGAACCCCTTCTGTGGCCATCTACAGAGTTGGTCAGTTTAGGGCAATTTAGGATGTATCTTGTTAGCCATTTGGTTGTTCATTTTGCTGCTAAATATAATTCTTTGGTAAATTTAAATATCGTGCCGGCCACTTGGTTCTGTGATTGTTTAACGGTCTCATTTGCCCCCTAGTTTTATGTAATACCCCAGAGAGAATTTCACCTCATCTTTATCTCAGAATAACATTGAAGATTCTGGGTATAGATTTACATTTTATAAAAGTGACATTCATCTGCTTTGCGTTTTTCCTCTGGGAATGAAGTCAAAGGTTGTGTCCCCCACTCTCCTGTGAGTCCCCCCCGCTCTCCTGTGAGTCCCCCCCGCTCTCCTGTGAGTCCCCCCCGCTCTCCTGTGAGTCCCCCCACTCTCCTGTGAGTCCCCCCACTCTCCTGTGAGTCCCCCCACTCTCCTGTGAGTCCCCCCACTCTCCTGTGAGTCCCCCCACTCTCCTGTGAGTCCCCCCACTCTCCTGTGAGTCCCCCCCACTCTCCTGTGAGTCCCCCCCACTCTCCTGTGAGTCCCCCCACTCACCTGTGAGTCCCCCCACTCACCTGTAAGTCCCCCCCACTCTCCTGTAAGTCCCCCTTACTCTCTTGTAAGTCCCCCCACTCTCCTGTAAGCCCCCCCCCCCCCCAATCTCCTCCTGTATGTACAAAAACAGTGGACTTAAGGGCTTGATGTGTTTTCAAGCCTCGTGAATTCAGGTTTCTAGTCTCCCAGTGCCCTTAATGGATGTTAGGGACGCATAAGTGTGGTTTCCTTTAGAGAGAAATGTTAGCTTTATAGTGTTTCTATATTCCTTTGCACTAAAAAGAGCGATGCATTTGTTCTACGACACTCTAGTGCCAGGTTGCCTACAATAACTCAACTCGTTTCTAAACTCTGGAAGTTGACAAGTAACTGCCAAGGTCATTGTTAGAGGTTATGCAGATGTCTGAAACACTCCGACGATCCCTGGGCCGAGGGTAGCCGAGGCTATTGAAGCTACATGGTACAGTTTCTCACGAAATGAACTCTGTATGGAAATTGTACCTTGTCTAACCAAGCTGTGGTGGCGTCTGAGTTAGTTAAGTGAACTCTCTTGGTTTCATTTTGTGAAGCCCTGTCCTGTTATATGACATGCTGTAGGACTGGCCCCCTGTTCCCCAGGAATCGTGGATCTCATGATATGCCACAGTCATGGATGGACAGAAGTCTAAACAAAGGAAACCTTAGTCCAGAATTCGGCAGATTCCAGTTCTATCGATTATCTGTAGCACCGCTGTCTGTTCTTGTGACTGTGGGAACACCCAGATCCAAGGCTGGGAGGAAGCGTCCAGTTCCCATCTGGATCCACATGCCTGCAGAGGGCATTAGCGTTGAAGTCCAGCTACAGCCCATGCCCTCTGACTTTTCAGACCTCTCCTGAGCAGGAGACTTGGCTGGTCTGGATTGGTCTGTGCCCTGCTACTTGTGAAAGCCAGCCTGTTGTTCTGTGCGTGTGTGCTTGCCTCTTACACACTGAATTCTGCAGTTTTTCACACCATTTGTCTTGAAAAAAAAACCCTTCTCATCAACTCTTTCCCTTTCAGTTCACTGTGAGCTTAGAAGTCAGTGAGTGGTTTTGAAGCCTTGGCAATGAGTGAAGGACCATGGCTGAGAACTTGTGCATGTCTTGTGATCGGAGGAGAATCTCCCACCTCACCCCACAGAGCTATCCTGCAGAGTTTGGGTAGCCTTTTTCCTACAATCTGAAAAAATTGTGCATATATCTGTATACTCGATTAGGTCTTCCTGTGTAGATAGGGTCTAAAAATTGACAGTGGGTCTTAGGGCTCTTCCGTCCTGTGTTGCCTGGGACTCTGAGGACAGTGACGGTGACATGAGTCTGGACAGACAGGAAACTTCCACACAGTGTTTTCTCTGTGGAGAGGATGGAGAGGAATCTACTTGGTTCTGTAAATATCAGAATTTAGCTGGAAGTATTTGCTAGCGGTGAGGTGTGTACCCAAGCAGTGGGGTCTCTTTAGAAGTGGGGGAATATTCTGTTGGCATATACAGAAGTTTAATGTAGAAATTTGATCAGGTGTTTTAAAAAAGAATTCTACCTGCCCCTCACTTTAAGTCTCTCTTAGGAGTTTTATATGTGATTTAAAGAAATGCTTTGTTGCTTTTGTGTTTAGGGTGAGCGAGTTCTCTGTGAGTCACCTTGTCAGTGGTGGCCGAGTGGACATTAGCTGTGTAAATAGCTTCTCATGAGACATTTATATGGATAGTGTGTGGTGACATTTCCTTCCCATTATCAATAGAGACTCTTTATGAACTCCATTTCTCTGAAGTTACCAAAAAAAAAAAAAAGCCCTGGCTTATGGTCCCATGTGACCTTGTATCCGTTAAGCCCAAAATATGAGTGCCTTTAGCAAGTGTTAGCATTTCACAGAGGATAGAAATGACAGAATTTACTGCCGTTAACCACAGTTCATAAAATAGCTTGAAATAGTAAAGGTCCTTGTGAATTCTGTTCCATGTCTCCCCCGCCCCCCTTTGTTAGTGCAATCTCAATTTGCTATTGTGGTAAAACTGCACTCTGAGTAGGAACCTGGTTGCCGTGGCTGGCTGTAGTCCCCTGGGCAGGCTATGTCCTGGTTGCCGTGGCTGGCTGTATGTAGTCCCCTGGGTGGGCTATGTCCTGGTTGCCGTGGCTGGCTGTAGTCCCCTGGGCGGGCTATGTCCTGGTTGCCGAGGCTAGCAGTTCACCTGGGTGGGCTATATCCTGGTTGCCGAGGCTAGCAGTTCACCTGGATGGGCTGTGTTTGATGATGTAGACGACTCAGCTTGAGATGCTGACATTGGAATAGACCTCCTACGCTGATCGTCCCAGCTTGGTTCTTCTGTAGAGAGGAGAGAGTTATGTATCTGAACATGAAGTGCATTGAGGGACTGGCAGGGACTGGCAGGGACAGTGGCTCGGGTCACTCTGTACATCCACAGGGTCACCTAGTGCGGATGGAGGGCCTTTCCAAGCAAGCTTGAGGCCTTTGAAAACGATTTCCTTAGTTCGATTAACTGACAACTTTAAATTTCCTGAGTCTTTACAGCCTTTTGAACGTATGATAAAACTAATTTTGGTGTAGAAATAGTAACGCCCCAACATTTTATCATGAAGAATTTCGGATATTTATCAGAGTGAAAACATTTGGAGCATAGCTAACTCTGTCTTTGTCAACATTTTCCCACTGTATTTCTATGTATCTCCCCGTGAGCTGTATTCCACTGTATTCATCCGTCTGCCCATCAGGACAGACGGCTCAGTATCAATTTCCGACAGTGCCCATACTGTGGGTATCATGCACTGGGATTTAACATTTAAATGTTAGTACCTTAGGAAAGCTGCGTGTGTAGGTCCTAACTTGAGCCGTGAACAGTCATGATTCTCTCCTGTGGACGTCAGTCTTCCTTGTTTCTGTTCTTGGGTCTCCAACAAGTCTGCACCAGGTTTCCTGGTCCTCAAAGATTACTTTCCTGACGGGACTTGTTGTGACCTCTTTGGGTACTGTGACCACTCGCCTTCTATCATGTACATAGCAGAATTAGCACTAAGACGGCAGTCCTGTCCACCGAGGGGTGGGTGAGCCTTGGAGCAGTCTGTATTCAGTCATGCCGAGGAAAACTGCCCTCTGCCTCCATCCTGTGCCCACCTGCTGTGGACAGCTCTGCAGAGCTGGAAGGGGTTTGCTCCAGGTCAGGGAGATGGGATGGGCAGATGAATCAGAGCCCAAACTTGAATGTTCTGGATTTTAATCTTAGGATCCAAAGTAATTGAACACTTCTTTGGGGCTCTTAGAAGGACTGTATTTATTTTTACGAATTAGAATTTTATTTTTTGACATTTCATAATTCTTTTGACATAAAGATGTCCTTATGGCCATTTGTTGTTGTTTTGTTTTGTAAAGTTCCATCTAGCCCAGGCTAGTCTTAATTCTACCTACTATGTAGCCGAGGATGACCTTGAACTCACAATCCTCCTGCCTCCACCTCTTGGTGCTGGGATTACAGGCATGTGCCACCATGCCAGGCTATAATTGTAGTTTTTAAGTCCACAGCAGTTGCTAACATCTCACTGCACATTGAACACCAACTAGTGCAGGGTCTGTCTGATTCTTTGTCTTCAAATGGCTTTCATGATCACTCTGTCAATGTAAGTGCTCAAGTAACCCCTCCCTAGTGAAAATGGTGTTCTTTATCACTGACCACGTGTGCACTCTCTACCTGATGCTTTTTTTCTTTTCTTTTTAGAGAAAATGACTCCATAAGTCAGGATGAGTGATACTGTCGTAGGGCAAAGCCCGTGCTTGGGAACAAACCTCTTGGAAGTGGCTGGTCATTGTTCTGCCCTCTTTTAGTCTCTGAATACCTGCCAAAGGTTCTGTAAGCCAGTGCGTCATTTTGTTAGAGTCTCACGTGGACTCTGCTCACCTGTGGTGCCCCCGTCACTGCAGTGACCTGGAGCGGGTTAGGTGTGTTGTCTTTGAAATGCCTTACTGGGCATGCCAGGCTCTGCTGTTGAGCATCCCAGCTGTCCGCTGAGACGCACACGTCCCCTCGGGGATGAGTGCTCTCGGTCCGGAAGCAAAGCTGATCTTACTTTCAGTATCAAGGGCGCATTTTAATGCAGTGATTGTCTTACATTAGAAATGACGTAGAAAGCCAAGAGACAGTTTGGAACCCTTCATGTGATCACATGGCGAACTGTAAATGTGCTTTTGCTGTTTCAGTAGGAAGAATGCAGCTAAGAAGTGCCAGTCCAAACCAGGAGAGTGGGGCTGTGCCGTGGAATGCTCTCCACTTGTCTTTGGGGGTTGGAAATCTGAGCAAGCCATCGGGCAGTGGGCCAGTCTCTGTTTGGAGATCTCCTCTTCAGGGACTACAGAGCTGACTGACATGTCACGGGATTCAAACCAATCAACTGTGAATTGTGAAATTGAAATTGCTGTTTTAGTTTTATTTTCTTCTGCCTATTAACTATAGAAGTCTGAATGTTATTTAAGCTTCTGCTTATGTTGATGGCTCATCTTGGCTGTATATTCTCATGTATGTACTGATTTCTGATAAAGGCTTGATGATATTGTAACAGGCTTTTTGTGTTCAGTTTAATAAAACAGTTTTTGAGTCTTGTCTCAAAAGTGCTTGGTTATGAGTTAGAGATGAAGGGTACTAAATGGTTAGCACACAGGTGTTCTTCCCACACTGAGGATGAGGTCTGTGAGTTTTCCATTCACGGTGGCGTGTGGTCTACTGCATGCTTTCCTAGGCTTAGAACACTGGATTCTCGGACTTGCTCTGGAATTGGCCTAGCTGTCCACACTGCCTTCCTCCTCCTAACCCCCAGATCTAGCCTGGGACTGGTGTGTACTCTGTTTTGTGGATACCTTTTCATATCTATGTTCCCTTCAAATTCTGAGAAAATGAGCCCAGAAGAGTGCTGACCACTGCTTGAAAGAAAGGTATCGGAGATCAGACACTCATTCATCTTTTGGGTGTTTCACCGATAAAGTGTGGCTACAGATACAATCAGTGTGGAGTGCAGTCATCACGGAGCTACAGTCTTTGGAGTGCTGTGGGTTATATGGAGCATGCTTTTGAATTTAAATGCCCATTTGAAAAGTAGATTATAAGTTTTAAAGTGGCCATTAGGGTTTTTGAAATTAGGATGTGGGGCACATACACTTAGAGTCAGAAAACTGTGTCCACCTGGAGAAATGTTTCTCAATGAAGGGGATAGATCACATTGAACTTGTGACATTCTTGAGGCATCAGCACATTTTATTAAATCATTTCCAAGAGATCGTGAGTGTAAAGACAGCTGTGATGCGGGGCATCAGCAGCACCTCCGTCACAGGAACTTTGTGGTTTCTCACACCCCCAGATCATGATGGGTCCATCTTTCACAGCTGCTTGTGTGTGGAAGAGCAGCAGCGAATGCTCCCAGGCTGTTGCCAACCTGGTGGGAGAGAGTGAAGGCCACACACAGTGTTTATGAAGAGGTTTTCAGACTTTGTTTTTTGAATTGAAGCTCGAGTCACGAAGATTTATTCCTGTTTGTGGAATACTGAAACTGTTGAGGAAGATGAACAGTTTACTTCTGTGTAATGAGAATATCAATAGGACTGTGACAAAGTCTTCCCAATACAAATGTGCCTGACACATACATGTACCTCCAACACACATGGGTTGTGTCCTTGGGAGCCCCTGGAATGCATTTAAGGTGGCATGCCCGTGATACAGTGAGCAAATGTAGACCTGCTTTCGGAAGACAGAGTTGATACCTTGAGCTTGGCGTTTGGGTCTTTAAGTATGTAATTAGACCTTCAGATGTAATTAGGATGGCAGCCTTCCCCCAGATGAGAGCAAGATGGCTTTCATATTAGCTTAATTTTCTAATCTTGGCTCAGCCAGCGGCCCTTTTGCTCCTATTTCTACAACAGTTTGCTAGGTTACAGACTTGGCCCATAGGTATCTATCGCCACCTTGTGGTCTCTTCAAATATTGCAGTTAGCTGTTGTGATGAACTTCAAATCAGGATTTTTGTTAAAAACTTGGACCGGGGTATGAGTTTTACTGGTAAGTGAAGCAAAACTCAGATCTATTTGAAAATAAAGCAAATCCAGGCATAGTGTCTTTAAGAGTTATCCGTGAATATTTTCCTTGATTGAGCTGCTAAAGTGACATTATGGGAGAAATACTGAATGTCTATTTTATATAAAACAAATACAATTCTTTCAGAGTGCCTACTTTATTTAAAACAAAACAACCTCTTGTCTCCACATTTTCCTGCATGTGGACAAGAACTGAGAATAAGGCAATGGTAAGTGCAAGCTGCACAGGGGTAAGGAATTCGAACCTCAAAAAAGACTGTTGGGAGTTAAAAAGACGTCACGGGCAAAGGGCTGAAGGAGTAGACGGCACGGGAAAAACACAAAACTAAGTTCAAGACACAAAGCTTTCCCCAGATGTGATGGGTTTGGGCCAGGAACAGCAGAGTTTCTGTTTAGTGAGCTGCAGCTCAGGAGACAGTTTGGTTAAGTATCCTGGACGTGTGGAAAAGGCTCAGGCTGACACCTGGTGCCTGCTCTGCCTCAAGGCCAGTCCTGGAGTCCGTGTGAGGTAGGTCCAGATTCCTTCCTTTGGACTGTGGGTGATTTAGAGGAGTATCTTCAAAATGATTATTATTTTTTTTTTTGACAAGCTAAATCTTGAACTCACTCTAAATTCTGTTTCTGCATCCCTTGACCAGAGCAGTCACGGTCTCTAGTTTCCTGAGTGGTTTCTGGGGATGGTCTGTTCAGTGCTGATGAGGCAGCCGGTCCCCACTGTTCACTTCCTTTTGGTGACCACCAGTATGCAAACAGCCAGCAATGTGGCTTGACCTGTTTCCTTCCTTCCCTCCCCCCTCCCCCCTCCCTTCCTCCCCCCTCCCCCCTCCCTCCCTCCCTCCCTCCCTCCCTCCCTTTCTTCCTTCCATGTGTAGTCTTAAATTTTAGTTTAGGGAACCCCCCTCCTGATGGACACATAAAATTATTGTGATTTTTAAAGTTAAATCTTAAAGGTGTAACACATGCATAACAAAATGGATCACTGTAATCACTTCTGGTGCACAGTGTGGTGGCGTTAAATTCATTGGCTTTGTTGTGTGACCATGATCACAGTTCTACTCCAGAGCATTTTTTTATCTTCCCAATCCAAAACTGTTCTCATACACAAGCTCCTGTGGTGATATTTTGTTTGTGTTCTGACAAATAAAGCTTGCCTGAAGATCAGAGGGTGGAGCTAGCCATTAGTTAACCATAGAGATCTGGAGGTCTGTATGACGGGAGACAGGAAGTGATATGACTGGGTGGAGACAGGAGCTCGGCCCCTTTTCAGTAGGAGGATTTGGAGAGGTAAGAGGTGGCTGGCTGCTCCTTCACTTCTCTGGTCTTTCAGCATTTACCCTGACATCTGACTCTGGGTTTTTATTATTAAGACCAATCAGCACTCGGGAGGCAGACCAATTAGATTTCCTGCTAAAGCTTCCATTGCCTGTTCCTCCAGGTTCTGGCTGCCACCGTTCTGTTTTCTATCCCTATGAATTTGACTGATTGAGGAATCTTACATAAGTGGGATCCTGTAGCTCCCTCTCCTACATCTGTCTTATTTAAATAAACATAATGTCCACAAAGTTCTTCAGCACTGAACTATGTGTCAAAATTGCCTTCATTTAAAAAGACGGACTGCTATCCTGTTGCATGTAGAGGCTACGTGTAGCTTACCTATCCATCCATCAATGGACATTTGGGTTCCTTCTACTTTTTGGCTATTATAAAGGACAACTCTAAGAATTTGAGTATATGAGGGTATATATAAATTAAGAATTAAAACTTATTCAGTGCATACAAGTTGGATAATCGAGTGAATCTGCATGCACACACCACAGAGCTCTGCGATTTCCTCAGACTTTGCTTTATTTCGTTCTATTTTTAAAGACAACATTGCAGATTTGGAGGAGGCTCACTGTACACCTCCCCTCCCAGTTAAACCTACAGTCTTGACTTTGGTGTTTTGGTGTGTACTTTTAATACCTATAGACTGGTGATGTATAGTCTGTTGAGCATTGTTATTTACCGTATTTCAATGTGATTCATTGTTTGGACATATCGGAGTTCTTCCTATGCCAGCAGGCATGCAGAGGCCAGTCAGTATTTTTTTCATAGCAGATAATACTGTAATGCATCTAGGATAAGTTTTTATTTTTAAGTTTTCCTCTTTTGAGACAGGATCTCATGTAGTCCAGGCTGTGTGTGTGTGTGTGTGTGTGTGTATGTGTGTGTGTGTGTGTTCATATATATATATGACCCTGAACTCATGATCCTCTTGCCTCTACTTCCTGAGTGCTGGGATCACAGGGATGTCCACATGTCTGCTGTTGGGGATGAGACAGAGGCCTTGGCTTGTTAGTCAAGTGCTCCACAACTGAGCCACAGATATGTTGTTGCTTGTTTCTTTTTTTTCCACTCTTCTGCTCTTTTGGGGGCCCACCACCCAACTCCCAAATAAAATCCACATGGAGACATTATTTCTTGTGAATGCCCGGCCTTAGCTTGGCTTGTTTCTTGCCAGCTTTTCTTAAATTATCCCATCTACCTTTTGCCTCTGGGCTTTTTCCTTTTCTTCTGTATATTTTACTTTCACTCTTACTGTGTAGCTGGCTGTGTGGCTGTGTGGTTGGGTGGTTGGGTGGCTGGGTGGCTGGGTGGCTAGCCCCTAGCATCATCCTCTCCTTGTTTTCTTGCTCTTTCTCCTTTTCTTGTTCCTGATCTCCCTTCTTTCCCTCCCAGATTTCTCCTATTTCTTCTCTCTGCCTGCCAGCCCCGCCTATCCTTTCTCCTGCCTTGCTATTGGCCGTTCAGCTCTTTATTAGACCGTCAGGTGTTTTAGACAGGCATAGTAACACAGCTTCACAGAGTTAAATACATGCAACATAAAAGAATGCAACACATCATTAAACAAACGTTCCACAGCATAAACAAATGTAGCATACCTTAAAATAATATTCTACAACACAGATGAGAATCTCTCTTATTCATCCAGGCCTAAGCTGCCACCAAGGGCCATGTCTGGGTCTGTGGTCCTGCTGCACCTGGGGTCTGTGTTGATGGCTGTGGCCCGGGTCACTTCAGGGAGCCATAGGAACCATGTGTGATGGAATCAGACACTGCTGAGCTGATCCTGCCCCTTGCTGGACACTGCAGCAAGAGAGCTGGCCCCAACCTCCATGGGAGAGCTAGCACCCGCCTGAACTTGGGAGAAATGTCCCCCCCCCAACACACCACAGGTGAGGGAGAACTGACCCTGATGGCATGGGTGTAGGGGACTGGGAGGTGAGCAGAATTAGGGTTCATGATGTGAAATTCTCAAAGATTCAATAAAGAAATTATGTTAAGTAATAAAAAAACCATCCCTTATTTTTCCTTTTTGTTTTGTTTCATTTTTTGAGACAGCCCTGGATGTCCTGGAACTCACTCTATAGACCAAGCTGGCCTCAAATTCACAGAGATCTGCCTGCCCCCAGAGTGGCCCTTATTCTTTCTTTAAAGACCTGTCTTATTTCTGTGTGTCAGTCACATTTGTGGATCCCCTCGGAGGCCAGAAGAGGGCATCAGATCCCCTGGAGAACTGCAGCTATCTGGAAGAGCAGCAAGTACTTTTTAACTGCTGCTGCTCCTTCTCTAACCTCCTTCCTAGATCCTTGTGTGAGGAATCTAGAAACTTATTCCACCACCCTGGAACTTATGCGGTGGCTGCAGGTCTTAATGTAGGCTTGTGGAGTTGGAACCTGTCTTTATCGAAGAACTCAGGTGATTTGTGGGCATATTAAAGTTCTCACACTTAGTAGCAATTGGAATGAATGACCTGGAGACTTGAAGCAAAGCAGAAAAGCTTTCCTTAGGAAGTTTCAACTAAACCACTCCACTGTGTCCCTGGGTGTCTAGGGATTGTTGTAAGCACCTTAGGTGATTCTAATGTGGCTCCAGGTTTAGGGCAACTGACATGCTGATGGTGCGTGTGTCACTGGCTTTAATGTAATCTCCCCAAATCATGGCTTCGCCTATAGGGAGCTGAAGCAAACGAGTAGTGGAATTTCTAATTCAGTAAATCAGTAGAACACTGGAGGAAATATTTTGTCCCATTTTAAGGACAATTAGCTCCTAGTTGACAGTTTGGTTTACTCACTGACACTTGTGAGACACTCAATGTGTCAAGTGAGCTGAGAAGAGCTGTGCTAAGGGTGCCTTCTCACACAGTGTTTGCTGGAGAACTTCCCACGTAAGGGGACTTGGCAATCCTGAATGAAATCCATTTCAACAGAAGATCAGAGTGTACACGTTAGGAACTCACCAAGGGAAGGTGAGGTTCCCTACAATGTCAACGCTGTGTCTGCACCTGTTCACTGGGGAAACGGAAACCCACCACCTGGATGTGGGGCCGAGTGACTGGACTCAAGGAAGAGGATGGAAGCCAGTGTGTTCGTGACTTGCAGGGATCTGCCCAATGGCATGTTATTATTGTGGTCAGAACTGCACTTTTCAATGTGGGCTTGGGCTGTACAGTTACTCCATGTCTTTGAGAATAGAGCAGAACACATTCACAGCAGCTGCATCCTTTATTTCAAAGTATGTTTGTGTTCTGTGCAGAGCTTTTTCAGACTGAGGGATTTCCCACTGCCCAAATAAACACACACACACACTTTCACTTTCAAATATTCACGATGCTTTCCACAGACTCCCATTTTCACCATCTCATTTTGTCCTTCTCAGAAGCAACTGGTATTGCTAGTATAGTCTGTGGTACCTCTGCAGCTTCTCCTGTAAACTTCTAGAATGTTTTTACATGCTACTGTGAAAGAGTTTCTGAGGCCTTTTCGTATCTATCATGGTGCCTCTTATGTGACTATTTTCTTACCAGTCTCCACCCACATGTTACACTAGCAGTGCACATGAGTGAGGGCAACCTGTGACTGTCATCATTTTATCAGTTGTTACCATTGTATGACACTGGTGAACAGGCCTGTGAGGCCTTATGCTTCAGTGAAATTCTTTTGCAAATACAACTTAAAAACAATAATCAGTATTTTCAGTTTTATTTTATTTTTATAAGTGTTCTTTTCAGGCATTTGAATTAATCTGGCTCTTGGACTGGTTTCTTAGAAATTTCTCTGCCTTTACTTACTTTTTTACAGAGTCTTACTATGTGGCCCTGGCTGCCTGGAAATTGCCATGTTGACCAGGCTGGCCTCGAGCTCACAGAGCTCTGTCTTGCTTCCTGAGTGCTGGGATTAAAGGCATTATTACTACTGTGTCCAGCCAAAGGCTAGCCTCAAACTTCTGATGCTCCTGCCGCCACCTCTTGAGCATCCCCCACCTGCCTGTGCCACCACGACTGACCAGGTGCTTGTGCAGTCTGATGTGGACCAAGGGAGGCCTGGGTCCCCTTAGCAGGCCAGCTAATGGCTGGGACACTGCGGATGAGCAATGCTGTGCTGCTGCCACGAGCGCCTCAGGCCTGGGTCTTGCTGCATGGGTCTCCCGACTCATCCACAGAAGACTGGAGTTCCCATTTCTCACTGTGTTATTCTGCAGAGGCCCTCTCTGTTGCTTCTCATCTAGCCCTGCCTGAAATCTGCCTTGTCGGACTCTTGATTTTTCCAGTGAGGATCTTGTAATTGTCCTTAGCACCTGTCATGTTGGGGATCATGAAGAATTTTGACAAGGTGGTCTGTGGCCAAAAGGAAGAATTCAAAAAGCTGAGTGTGTAGCTCAGGGGTAGATTGTTCATCTAGGATACATGAGGCCCTGGGCCAATCCCCAGCACTACAGATAAAACCAGAATAA